GTATAAAAATTAGCCAGGCACGGTGGTGCATGCCTGTAATGTCAGCTACACGGGAGGCTGAGGCAGGAGAATCTCTTGAACCCGGGAGGTGGAGGTTGCAGTGAACTGACATCACCCCACGGCACTCCAGCCTGGAAGACAGTGAAATGCTGTCTGAAAAACAAAAACAAAAAACAAAAACAACAACAACAAAACTACCTATTTGGTACTATGTTCATTCCCTGGTGATGAAATAATCTGTACACCAAATCCCTGCGACATGCAATTTACCCATGTAACAAATTTTCGCATGTGCCCCTTAAACCTGAAATAAAAATTGGAAGGAAGATGAAAACATACAGATAAGATAACAACAACAAAATCCCTAAATATGTATTGACACAAGGGACTATGCCAGGCCTTGATATAAAGTGGTGGAAAAATAAAAAGATATGTTCTCTGGCTTTACAGAGTTTACAGCCTAGTGGGGAACAAATACAAGCAAATCGATATCTACTTATAGTTGCGATACAGGCCACAGAGGAAAAGTGGAAAACACAGTGATGATTTATTCAACCCTCATTGCAAGCCAGGCACTGTTCTAGGTGCTTAAATGTGTTATATCTCATTTATTGCTCAAAACAAACATATTTTTATTTCCATTTTTACGCATGAGGAACCTGAAATACAAAATTGTGAGCATGGGGAGACTTTGTTATGATTAGGGGGTCAGAGAAGGCATCCTGAGAAACACACATGTGAATAGGGGTTAGCCAGATGAAGACGGGGGGGAATGTTCCAAGCAGAGGGAATGAACAGCTCGTGTGAAGGTCCTGGGGCACGAAAGAGCCATGGAGAAAGTCCAAGTCGGTTGGCGAGGGTGGAGCCTGGAAAGGAATGGATGATGAGATCAGGGTAGGGCGGGCAATGGAGGGCTTGGGGGCTGGGCAGGGAAGAAGTAGGTGGTCATTATAAGAGTGGGGTGGCAATGAGGAGGTTCAGCAGGGATAGTGTGAAGCACAGCTCCAGGCGGAAGCCCTGAAACAGAAATATCACAGCTCCTGGCTGTCTGTCCACTTGTGGCTGACGAGCTCTCTCTGCCATGTCTAAGCCTGCTGCAGGATGGCACCTCCAACAGCTCATATATTTTGCAGATTATTGTTTCATTATTATTTAAAAATACTCAATATGAAAAGGTTGGATTGAATTTAAAAAACATTTACATTATTACAAGAAATTTCCACATGCCAAAGAGCTATTTGATCTTTTAAGTATAATTTCAACAATTTTGGAATTGTTAAAATACTAAAAATATTTCATGATTACCTGTGCATACAAGCTTTCCCATGGGTGGTGACCACTGGGAATTTGGGGAGATCATCATTAACAAGTCTTTATCAGAAATCGTGTGGCCATTTCAAGCATAAAATATAATGTAAAAAAGTTATAGTCACCAAAGCAAGCCCAAGCTTCTTAATTAAAAAATTAAAAATATTTTAAATGGAGAGGTTATAAATTGTTTGCTTCCTGCAGAGATCCCTCAAGGGGAATACAGGCCCTCGTGGCCAGTCGGGCCTCAACAGGAAAACACACCGTTTGTGGGAGCCGGGTCCCTGCAGCTCCTAGAATAACCATGCCTCCTTCCACACGGCCTCTCCAAGTTCCTTGTCTGTTCTTGTTTCTAACGGTAGGGGTCATTATTTCCCTTTTGTAATTTTTTGGAGACTGAAGCCAGTGCCTTCACAGGCTTAACTATGTTTTTTTTTTTTTTTTTTTTTTTGTTTATGGCATTAATCCTGAGGTTAGGGTCGGCCTGTGGTGAGCAATAATACATTTACCCTTTGACTTCGTGCACTAAGATGTAATTGATCATTTGTGGTCTCATTTCCAGGAGCTGGGAGACTCAGTTCAGTTTAAGATAAATGGAGACAGGAGAACCCTTGATTTTAGTGATGTGTTGAAGAGAGCAAAGCATAGATATGACTGACTTATTTTATGAACTCCACTATCCTCCTTATCTTTATTTAAAAGCAGATTTTTTTTCTTTCACTAAGTGATTTGTTATTTAAATTTTATAGCCAGAATCGGATCCTGGTGAGGGTAACTTCCCTTAGAACGCACATTAATGTCTGGTTGGTAAATAAACTTGAGGCATTTTTGCATTGGGCATAAAAATAAAGATGAAAATGTTGACTTCTAAACCAAACAGTAGCACAGAATTCTACATGGCGCGTGCTGTGTTGCTCCTTTGATTATAATTTTACTGCTGCCTGTATTACAAAACAATTATCCAATGCATTTTAACTCGAACATAAAGACCCATTTCTGGTGAAATGATAGTAACTGAAACTATTTGTTGAAAGCCTACGCAACCGACAAATAACATCATCTCTTCTGTAATCTTAATCTTCACAATGTTACTGAAAAGTAGGTATCGCTAGATTTTGCTGACAAAGAGACTGAGCCAAAGAGAGAAAGGAAGATAAGATGACAAAACTAATAAGGGAGTAGAACTAAAATTCAAACCCAAGTCTCAGAGACTCAAAAGGCCCCTTGTCTTGCCGTGATGCCACTTTGGGCTCTGAATCCTTTGCCTTTCCCTCTTGTTTTTTTCTTTCCCTCTTTTTAATTTTCCTTTTTGGTTTGTTAGCCAGTTTGAGGCTCTAGACATAAGATCTTTTCAATTCACACAAATAATGTGCGTCTGGACTTTAATTTGTCCTGAGACTTAAGGAACATCCCTAGAGTAATCTAGTTAGTATCTTGCTCCTCCTAAGAGGGAAACAGTATGTGCTCACTATATTTTTAATCTTCTAAATGGATGCAGCAGCCAATTGAATTCTGCAGGGATTTAGCTTCTTCTGTCCATGGGCATTTTCTCTTTATCCTTGAACAACAGAACTGGTTATTGAAAGAGAACCTTGGTTCAGCAGGGCCTGGGGCAAGTAAAGAGCCCCAGATAAAGAAGTTTATCCCCTGAATGACTGGCCTACATCAGGCCACTGGGAAGGTCCGCAGTTAATGCCCTTGATTGGACTAACCTGACTCTCAGGAGTCTGTGATGGGGCTCTACAGATGTAATGATGTCATGGGGCTCTTTGCAGGGTCATCTCATCCAGGTGTCCTAGGGTGATTATGGTCTGTGGCCAAGAAGTTTTCATCTTAATTAATTCTTGCTTTTTTACATAGTGGGGAGAGTGGGGCAGAGGACTCCCCATTCTTCCCGCAGTTAATGCTTTTTCCATTTCAGAGAGCAGCCCGCCTAGCTGTCCTCCCTCTGATGCCAATTTTAGGTTCAGACATTGAGGCTTTGCATCCAACTGTGTTTTTGGGGGAGCACAAGATGCTAGCTCTTCTTTCCTCCTGTCCCTTGCCACTAATGTCCCAGGAGTGTCTCTATTTTTAATGAAACTCCAGGTTATAAGATTTTACAATTTTTATAATATTATTTGATTATTTAAATTTGTTAAATAATTGTCTTTCTTTGCAGCTAATTTATATAGCGCATGCTATAAGGTAAGCCTGTTTCCCTACTTCCTTGGATAGAGGTCTAAAGAAACTCACTGATGTTCCTTAAGGTATGAACTTGCTGAACACTTTAATAACAATACAGAATTATAAGGTCCTTGGAAGTGTGCAAAGTGTCTTCCTGGACCCCATGAAATAGGCTTTTAGCAAGGAGTAAACTGAGGCTCATGGACATTAGGGGATTTGTCTAGGTCACACAGCTGGGTCCTCAAATGAGACAATAGGCTGGAACAGCTTGGGGAAGAGAATTTTCAAGAGAAAGAGAATCTGATTAAGGTTCATATAACTACTAGGGAAATGGAGGAAGTAAGCATGATCCTGTTGAGTGATGCTTGGAAAATCTTTATATATATAAGTATATATATATATAATATAAATATATATATATATATTTGAGATGGAGTCTCACTCTTTTCGTCCAGGCTGGAGTGCGGTGGCACAACCTCGGCTCACTCCACCTCCCAGGTTCAAACAATTCTCCTGTCTCAGCCTCCTGAGTAGCTGGGATTACAGGCAAGTGTCACCATGCCTGGCTAATTTTTTTGTATTTTTAGTAGAGACCAGATTTCACCATGTTGCCCAGGCTGGTATTGAACTTCTGACCTCAGGTGATCCACCCACCTCGGCCTCCCAGTGTGCTGGGATTACAGATGTGAGCCACCACACCTGGCTCTTTTCTCGGCTTTTAACAAAAACTTGGCATTCAGGTCCCAGCTCAAGTATCCCAAGCTTTCTTTCATACACTTCCAGATGGACCTGGTTTTTTGTGACACTGGATTCTTTTTTTTTTTTTTTTCCATTATACTTTAAGTTCTGGGGTACATGTGTAGATCGTGCAGGATTGTTACATAGGTATACACATGCCATGGTGGTTTGCTGCATCCATCCCCCCCGTCATCTGCATTAGGTATTTCTCTTAATGTTATCCCTCCCCAATCCTCCCACCCCCTGCTATCCCTCTCCCCCAACCCCCTGACAGGCCCCGGTGTGTGATGTTCCTCTCCCTGTGTCCTTGTGTTCTCATTGTTCAACACTCACTTATGTGTGAGAACATGTGGTGCTTGGTTTTCTGTTCCTGTGTCAGTTTGCTGAGAATGATGGTTTCCAGCTTCATCCATGTCCCTGCAAAGGACATGAACTCATCATTTTTTATGGCTGCATAGTATTCCATGGTGTATATGTGCCACATTTTCTTTATCCAGTCTATCATTGATGGGCATTTGGGTTAGTTCCAAGTCTTTGTTATTGTAAACAGTGCTGCAATGAACATAAGTGTGCATGTGTCTTTATTTTATTTTATTTTTCAGGGCACTGGGATAATTTATTCAAGACAGTATTTCATAGCAATTTAGATTTGTGAGGTTGACAATGTTTCACTGAGTTGGCCAAGGCCTAATAAATATGGACAACTTTGGTGAAAATATCTCTGGTTTCAACTCCTTCACACCTCCAATCTCATTCCGTTACGCTTCTGCTTTCTAAATTGGATGGTTACTTTGTTCATGTGATGAAATCATGTTATCTATATGGAAAGTCTCTTGGAGATGGTAGACAGTCAAGTTTGATCACATGAATGTTCAAACTTGGGGCTTAACCTGAAGGACTCACACATTTTCCTAATTTATGTAGGAGACAGAAAATTAACCACTCTCCCTTGGATAAAAGCTGATCCACACAATTTCTTGATATTTTGTCCAGACAACAGACAATACTCTAAGTATCAACTTCCTCAAACTAGAATATTATTTTTAAAATTTCTTTTTTTTTTTTTAAAGTGAATATATATTTTATTTAGTCATTTTGCTTACAATTGAAACTCTGGGAATTCAAAATTAATATCCTTGCCCATGAGCTTCTTATAGACACCAGAAAAAGTTTCAACCTTGTGTTCCACATTGTTCTGCTGTACTTTGTCCAAATAAACATTTTTGAGCCAGCTGCCATCCAGATTCACATGGATTCTCTTGCCCACAATTTTGCTTGGGAAAACCAAGTCCTCAAGGATTGCATCACGCACAGCTGTCAGAGTACGGCTCCTGGGATGCTTTTGCTTATTTATTTATGTATTTTTTACCTGTGATAAATTTACTTATTTTTTGTTTTGTTTTGTTTTTTTTTTTTGGAGACAGAGTCTCACTCTATCCCCCAGGCTAGAGTTCAGTGGTGTAATCTCAGCTCACTAAAACCTTCACCTCTTGGGTTCAAGCGATTCTCCTACCTCAGCCTCCCAAGTAGCTGGTATTATAGGCATGCCCCACCACGCCCACCTAATTTTTGTATTTTTAGTAGAAATGGGGTTTCACCATGTTGCCAGGCTGGTCTTGAACTCTGGGATTACAACTGTGAGCCACCGTGCCCAGCTAAAAATTCACTTTAAGTATAACAGTACAGGCAGGTTGAAAGTAAAAGGATATCCAGACACGGTAGCTCACACCTATAATCCTGGCACTTTGGGAGGCCAAGGTGGGCGAATCGTGAGCCCAGGAGTTTGAGACCAGCCTGGGCAACATAACCAAACCCTCTCTCTACAAAAAAAACACAAAATAATTTGCCATGTGTGGTGGTACCAACCTGTGAGCCCAGCCGGTACTTGGGAGGCTGAGGTGGGAGGATCACCTGAGCCTGGGAGGCAGAAGTTGTAGTGAGCCAAGATTGCATCACTGCACTCCAGCCTGGGCAACAGTGAGACCCAGTTAAAAAAGAAAATAGGCTGGGTGTGGTGGCTCATGCCTGTAATCCTAGCACTTTGGGAGGCCAAGGTGGGTGGATCACCAGAGGTCAGGAGTTCAAAACCAGCCTGCCCATCTTTGTGAAACTCCATCTTTAAAAGAAAAAAGAAAAAAAGAAAGAGAGAGATAGAAAGGGGGAAGAAAGGAAGGAAAGAAAAAAAGGGAGGGAAAGAAAGAAAAGAAAAAGAAAGATAAAAGGAAGAGAAAGAAAAAAGAAAGGAAAAAAAAGAAAAAAGGAAAGGAAAGGAAAGAAAAGAAAAGAGAAAAGAAAAGAGAAAAAGAAAAGAAGAGATTATTGCTTGAGCCCAGAAGTTCGAGACCAGCCTGGGCAATATAGTGAGACCTCGTCTCTAAAAAAAATTAAAATATGAGGTGGGAGGGGAGGCAGAGCAAGATGGCTGAACAGGAACAGCTCTGAAGCACAGTTCCCAGTGGGAACTGCGCAAAGGGTGAGTTATCTCTGCATTTCCAAATGAGGTACCAGGTGCATCTCAGTGGGACTGGTGGCACAGTGTGTGTAGCCCAGGAAGGGCGAGCCAAGGCAGGGTGAGGCGCTGCCTCACCTGGGAAGTACAATCTCCGGAGGACGCCCCTCCCTTCCCAATGGAGACCGTCCGGGGCTTTTCCATCCCCTCCAGCACTCTGGTTCAGATACTGCGCCTCTCCCGCAGTTTTTAACCACCCACAGACTAGGAGATTCCCCCCCGCCAAAAAGCGCCAGAGGTTTCCAGCTCAGCTGTTTCAGCGGGCACTGCAGGATTCTGCACAAAAACTCACACAAACCTGGGCGTCCGTTTCAACTGGCTCCTGGAAAGCCTGGGAGACACAGCCACCCATTCAACTGAAAATGAGGAGCCTGGTGATCTGGCTCGGAGGGTCCCACCCCTACAAAGACTGGCAATCTGAAATGCTCTGACTTGAGAGTTCCGCAGCAAGCACAGCTGGACCTGGGAATGTCGAGCTCACTGAGGAGAAGGGTGTCGGCCATTACCGAGGCAGTCGGCTGCTGTGGAGGCAGTCTGGTTCCGCCATTACTGAGGCAGTCCGCCACTACCGAGGCAGTCCGGACCACCATTACTGAGGCAGTTCACAACTACTGATGCAGTCCAGTCCGCCATTACTGAGGCAGTCTGGTTCCCCTCTACAGAGGCCGTTCGCTGCTACTGAGGCAGTCTGGTCCGCCATCACTGAGGCAGTCTGCTGCTACCGAGGCAGTCCGGTTCACCATTACTGAGGCAGTCCGCAGCTACTGAGACAGGCCGGTCTGCCATTACTGAGGCAGTTCGCCACTACTGAGGCAGTCCGCTGCTACCA